GCCCGGGCTTCGTGCACGCCGGGGCCTGCTGCCTCCCGGGCGCCCCGCGCCCCCTGACCTTTGAGGGTCAAGCCCTTTGGGGGCCTCTCCTCTCTCACATCCAGGGGAGCCCCGGCGTCTGCGGGCTGGGCCGGCCCCACCTCCTGCACCTGGGGCGCTGCGGGGAGCCTGGTGCCTGCACTTGGGGTGGGCTGGCGGCCGAGGGCTCACTCCCCTCCCGCTCACTCTGGGGAGCGGGCCCCGGGGGCCCGGGGCTGACTCCGTGGTGGTCTCTCCGCAGGACGTACCCACGGCCTCACGAGTACCTGCGCCCTGCGGATCTGCCCGGGAGCTGGGACTGGCGCAGCGTGGACGGGGTCAACTACGCCAGCGTCACGCGGAACCAGCACATCCCGCAGTACTGCGGCTCCTGCTGGGCCCACGGCAGCACCAGCGCCATGGCCGGTAGGTGGGGGCGGCCGGGACGCAGCCTGCAGCCCGAGCCCTCGGACCAGGGCGAGCTGGCCGCTGCTGCGCCTCGTGATGGAAGAGGCCAAGTGGCCAAGGCTGGATGGTGTCCCACTGGGCAGGGGCGCCTGCCGGGGCCTGCGGGTGCCCTGCAGCACGAGGACAGGAGCCCAGGGACGGGGGGCTCCAGGGGCCTTCTCTGTCCCAAAGTTGTGACCCCGGCCACTTGGGATGGAGCCAGAAATGCAAACTCAGTGACCCTGCCGGTGTCTTGGGTGCAGATGAAGCTGCTTTCAAAAGCCAATGACAGTGCAGTGAGTGGCTGTCCCCTTTTCTCTTCGGGGCCTTAGCCGGCTGGTCAGTGAGGAAGGCAGCCACTGAGGTCGGAACCACCTGAGAAGGCTGCTGGGCCTGGCCTGGGGAGGGAGGAGAGGCCAGCGTCCAGCCTCCCTCAGCTCCAGGGCAGCATGTGAGAGGGGCTCTGCATCCTTAGTGGCAGCCCAGGGTCCCAGGAGCCTGCCTCACCCTGGAAGTCCCTTGGAGAAGGGACTTGCCCACCGGGAAGCTGCCCCGAGGGCTGACTTGGGAGCTCACGGGGCAGCCAGCTGAAGGAGTGGCATCTGGCAGGGTCTCCCCGGTGACCCTGCCCCATCTCTTTTGGGAGACTGATGAGAGACCCCTGGGGGCTGCAGTTTACACCTGACCCTTCAGGAAAGAGGAGGAAGGGAGCAGGTAGGCTGAGGCCCAGTTGGAAGGTACAGGAACCCTTGGGGGAGCTGGGGTGGCCAGAAGATAGACAGGGCCAGAGCTTTAACCACGGGAACTGCTGTGAGGCATGGGCCGGGCAGGCAGGGCATGGCAGCCTTAAGGCAGACGGTCAGGGCAAAGGCCAAGCAGGGACGGCTGGCTCAGTTGGGGAAGTGAAAGGGCCTTGTGACTGTGGGGGAGGGGAGAAGGAAGGCCCTCAGAAGTCCCCAGGGGCCTAGTCCCCAGGGAGGGGCCTGGGGAAGCACTGTAGGGGCTGAGAGAGGGAGTCACATGCCCAGGTTTTATTTGTGAAAGACTGGGGGGCTGGGGCCACCTTTGACTGGTCCCTTTCAGACAGTAAACCGGCCACAGTTCTGGAGGGGAATTTCTCTCCTGGGCAAAGGGCTGCTTCTTCTGCTTTCTTCTCAAACCTTGAACATTTTCTCCAGCAGCAGGATTCTTCCAATTTCACTGAGAAAATAGAAGCCCTCAGAAGGGGACTTCCACAGGTGCCCAGCCAGCTGCCACCCAGTGCATCTGGCTGTAGTTTTTGCCTTCCCTCCAGTCTCTGGGCGTCACGTGTGTGAGTCCCTTGCCAAGGCCATTCCTCCCTGTGCCCAGACTTGGCCATCACTGTGAACAGGAACAAGGGCATGACCCCAGCCTGCCTCCAGCTACCACCCGTCTGCCGGGCTCCCTGCTTCCTCCTCTCCATCCTTGAGCCCACTGCAGCCTCACTGCACCCGGACCATTCTTGCTAAGGCCACCAGCAAGGGGCTGCCATGCAGGCAGGTCCAGTGGTCAGCCCTGGGCCTCCACCTTCCTCATCTGTCCTTGTAACACTTGCCCACCTCCTTCTATGCTCTCAGAGCTCCTCGCCCTCTCAAATTCACTACTGATCATAGGGTTCCCCAGGACTGAGTCCCTGGCTCCACCCGACCTCCACCTGAACTCGCCCCTCAGCTTTACACACAAAGATGCACTCTCCCTCCCTCTTGCTTGGATGCCTCACCCCTCAATCCTCATATGTTCAGTCCAAACAGCCCATCCTTCCCACCACCACCCTCACCCCTGTGGACAAAAGAACATCCAGACCTCTAGAGAATTTTTATAAGAGTTTATTTGAGCCAAAACTGCAGACAATTACTGGGCAGCAAGATCTCAAATGCTGCAGAGAAGGACAGTTTTGCAGCTGCTTTTATGCATCTGGAATTAAGGAGGCAACGTGAGAAGGGTTACAGGGAGGTGAGGGAGCAGGCGAGATCCGATTATAGGCTGGTTAACAAGCTCAAGTGCTCCCTTGGGGGTGGTTTCACTTGAGGGGTCTGAAAAGAGATGTTTCAAAGGTGTGTTAACCTAGATGCACCCAAGCAATGGGCAGGGATGGCTTAGAGCAAAGAGAAATCATTACTAAAAATAAGTTATATGCCTGGGCCGTGTCTGCCCTCCATCACCTGCCCAGTTGGGAATTTATGATCAGCTCACCCTGTGAGGTTACTTTCTGTAGAACCCCTTCTTCATCCACACCGAAAACCATGTTCTCCATCCTCAGTGACAATGGGATCCTTCCCGTCACTCAGGCAAGGGCCTTGAGTCACCCTGATTCCTGTTTCGTGCCCTCATATAATCCTGCGACAGATCTCGTCCCCTCAGAATACCCTGCACCTCCACGGCAGCCCCCCAGCCACCCCAGCCTGAGCCGCACGCCCGGCACCTGGCCTTGTCTCAGAGCTGCTGGACCGGTCTCCCTGCCGTCCCGTCCCAGGTGGCTAGACCGAGCCTGGCCAAACCCGGGTTGGGTCGTGCTTCTGTTCTGCTTGAAACCCCCTGAGGTTTCATGCAGATAAAACACAAGACCCTTCCTTGACCTACCAGAGCTCCCTGTCCCATGTGGGGACCCAGTGTGGGTGTCACAGGCTGGAGCACAGGAGGGACCCTCTCATGCCAGACCCTGCGCTCCCAGACCCCCCCCAGGGACGCCGCCCCAGGGAGGTCCTGTCACCCTCTCTGCATTTCGCCCCCCCAATTCTCTCCCGTTCTCCTCGTCAGAACTACTTCATGCTTCCACACTGACGCTTGTTGTCCTTTGTCCGCCACCACGCAGACCTCATGTGGCAAGAAGCTTCTGTCTGTCTGGGGGAGGGGGAAGAGGCGCGGGAGGACGGCGATGCCCTGAGGGGCTGTGGAGGGCCAGCTGCTCGCTGTAACCAGTTCTGACTTAGGGCAGAAAGCTAGAGGAGGCCCTGAGGTAGCACCTGGCAGGGCGTGTGGCTGTGAAACCACCTTGGGACAGTGGAAAGTGAGCCATGGGTAGGATTGGTTGCAGGACGGTGGGCCCCAGGCAGGTGCAGTGGCCACCTGTAGCTGTCCCTGGCTGCCCACGGCGGGGTGTGGGCCACAGGCAGTGCAAGCGTCACCAGTGACCAGATGGTGGCTGGCTGTTCAGAGCCCCGCCTCTGTGCCCCCCAGTCCCACCAGCAGTGGGTGCAATGTCCTCGGGGCTGGATCCCGCCCAGCCTCCCCACTGCCTGGAGGTCCTGGCTGCACTTGCTCACAGAAGTGCCCTCCTGTCCTTGCTCCTGGCCCTTTCAGCTCCTCAGCTGGCATTTCTGGGGCATCTACAGCTCAGCAGACATGCCTGGCCCTGCCCACATGCCGCTTCCAGTTGGGGGTGTGGACAGGAACATTGGTGCAGGGAAGGGCCAGGGGAGATGGCTCCAGGAAGCCGAGGCGGTCTGGAGAGGGCCCTCCAGAGAGGGACAGGGCCACCACAGCAGCAGCGGGGCAGACTGGGTGCTGACTCCCATGGGTGCTGCCTTTCAGATCGGATCAACATCAAGAGGAAGGGGGCGTGGCCCTCAGCCCTCCTGTCCGTGCAGAACGTCATTGACTGCGGGGAGGCTGGCTCCTGCGAGGGGGGCAACGACCTGGAGGTGTGGGCCTACGCCCACAGGCACGGCATCCCAGATGAGACCTGCAACAACTACCAGGCCAAGGACCAGGGTAGGCCCCGCCCGCCCTGCCTCCCTCTTCCCAGGGAAAGGGCAGCCTGAGCCCAGGCCAATCCAAGCTTCTCACCCTGGTCTGGGTGCTGAGGGAGGCTCAAACCCTGTGGGTTTGGGGGAGCAGGGAGCCCATAGTCTTTATTAAGGCCACCAGAAAAGGCCTGGGCAGGGGTGTCTTCAGCCTGTGGCCAGAGTTGGCCGCATTTTGGAGTTCTGATGTGTTGGTTTCTTGGTTTCGTGGGCCTTTGCGAGAGAGGCACAGGTGGCTGTTGTCCAGGGGCAAGGAAGCTTTCCGGGAGCCGGGCGGGGAGCGCAGGCAGGCTGCTGCCCAAACTGGAAGCAAGCAGACCCAGCTGGAAGAATGTGGCTTTAGCCGGGTCCCCTCCCCAGGACCCTGGGCTGTGTGCATTCAGGTGGATCTGGAGCCCAGGGGCCCTACATGGACCAGCAGACCCAAGCTGGCCTGGAATCCCTGGCTTTGGCACGTTCCTTTCAGGCTGCTCCCCCCACCAATGAAAAAAAAAGTCCATAATTGGCAGTTTTAAGTCACCTGCCTCTGTGGGAGCTCTCGTGCAGCTGGAGCAGAGAGCTGGGACCCATTCAAAGGCTGAGACTGGAGGGGCATTAGGGGGAGCCCAGATGCTTTCCCACACCGCCCTCTCCTTCTACAAAAGGGATTGCCCAGCCCCGTGCCCTCTGAGGCACACAGCAGTCTCAGGCAGCATCCCACACCTTTGGGCCCTCACTTGCCTCCTGGGCCATGTTGCCCAGCCACAAAGAATTCCCCTGCACTGGTTGGGCCAGTCTTGTTGAAGTGGTAAACGCAGCAGGGGTCAGAGAACTGAGAGGGACAGGTGGAGGGAGGAGGGAATGACTACTAAGTACCCAGAATCAGACGGGCCCTGGGGCCTCCCCCTGCACTGCTCAGCCCTGAACTGGTCTAGTCCAGCCCAGGCCGGGCCCTGTAACCCACCTTGCATGACAGGCAGATGGAGCTCATCAGAAACCTGGCTGTTTGCAATAAATAGCCTGGTCTTTGTATTTAGCGAATGTGGCCACAGACCCAGCCCTTTCCGGTTGTGCTGGGCATTTAGTGACCAAAGGACACATCATGCCAGTTTAACCCTCAAGGAGTCTACTGTCCTGGGGAGGAACCTGGACAGATAAGAAGCTAGAACAGCAACATAGGTAACAGGCAAGCCCAGAAAAGGCAGGTTAAGGGCCCGGAGGAACATACGCAATGGGTGGGGTGGAGTCTTATAGAACTAAGGGCTGCATTTTTTAATTTTTTGCCCAATTCTTGATATCACCTCAAACCAAAATAATCAAAATATCCTATTTTTCCCAAATGACTGGCCTATTCACTAGCCAGCAGTAGACATCTTATTAAGAGCTAATCATTTAATTACACTCTTTCAGCTGTAGAGTGCTATGAAAGGGCCCTTCTCCGGGCCTCTAAAGGAAAAAAGCCTGCCATTTGAGTGCCTACTATGTGCTAATTAACGTTCTGTGCCTTCTGCCAAGGCCTGGGGAGGGGCTTTTCACAACTCCTGTGCAGCTGAGGGAGCAGAATTAAGCAGCACCTGGTGGTGAGAGGACTCCCATCCTTAGTGAGCCAAGTGGAGTGGGCCTGGGTGCTCGTGGGGCGGGTTACTGATGAGAGGCCCCGTGCTGACTCTGCGTGCACCCCCCAGAGTGTGACAAGTTCAACCAGTGCGGCACGTGCACGGAGTTCAAGGAGTGCGAGGCCATCCAGAACTACACACTCTGGAAAGTGGGCGACTATGGCTCCGTCTCTGGGAGAGAGAAGATGATGGCGGAGATCTACGCCAATGGTCCCATCAGGTGAGCAGACCTGGCTGTAGGGTGCAGGCCGCAGTCACTCTGCCCCTTTCCTTCGGGCCAATTTTATTTGCTAGGCTCGAGACAGCTGCCAGTTTTCTCGGAAGTGGAGCTGAACTGGCTGGTGGGCCCCTCAGGGTGGTTGGGAGTGAATGAAGGGCAGTGTGTGGAAAGGCCCCAGGCTGCAAGTGCTGTGGACTGCGGGCTGGGCCAGACACTCGGCAGACTCACCTGACTGGTGTTATCTCAGTCGGATTTACTGATTCACACTTACAGTGCTAATTCTTTGGCTGCTTGCTCCCAGCTGCGGGATAATGGCAACAGAAAAGATGGTGAAATACACCGGAGGCATCTACTCGGAGTACCAGGAGCAGAGCTACATTAACCACATTGTTTCTGTGGTGGGCTGGGGCGTCAGCGACGGGACTGAGTACTGGATTGTCCGCAATTCATGGGGCGAACCATGGGTAAGGTTCCTGCTGACACTCCTCTCTTTCGATGGTGCTGTGGCCGTGTGGCTAGGAGCCGCAGCCCTGAGCACCGCTGACATCTGGGTTCAGACACTTGAGTTGCGTGGGGGCTGTTGCCATCCTGGGCATCATACTGCGTTTAGCAGCATCCTGGCCCGTCCACCAGTTATGACAACCAAGACATCTCGACGTTGCCAGGTGTCTCCTGGGGGAATGGCCTGGTGGTGGAGCTCTGCTTTAGAAGTTTCAGATTAGCTAGTTTATTGCTTCACAGCCATCTCGTCGTTTTCCCTGCCCGTTTTGGCTCCACCCAGTAATCCTATATAATTTTTTCATACTTTTGATTTGAGTTGCAAATCCAGGAGAGACTGACTGCCAGAATTTTAATTTCTAAGATGCAGCATGAACCATTAATGATTTAAGACACAGACATTCATTATTATGAAGTGGGGAAATGATTAATGTCGAAGTGATGCAACGTCAATATTTTGTATTAAATTACTACACATGGAGGTATTAGTAGGAAGTTAAGTCATCTGGTCCAAAGCATCCACATTTTGGTTCCATGAATTAGACTTTGACATGAAGCGAACTGCGCTTCATATTAATATATGAAAAATATTAAGTAAAATATTCACAAGAGGTATTTGCAAGCAGGGGTCCTGCCTGGGAAAGGGAGGGGCAGCTGGGCAGGTGGTAGGACCTGCGCTGAGTGACAGGCGGAGGAAGAGGGTGGTCTGTGTGCTGAGAGGGAGGGGGTTCAGGCCAGGCAATGAGCTAACACGAGCTCCCACTTGTCACAGGGCGAGCGAGGCTGGATGCGGATAGTGACCAGCACCTACAAAGATGGGAAGGGCGCTAAGTACAACCTTGCTATCGAGGAAAACTGCTCATTTGGGGACCCCATCGTTTAAGGCAGATGTCTCAGAAGAGCAGTTCTTTAAGAAACATCGTGAACCAGAGTGGATCCTGCTTTGACACTGCCATGGTTTGGAGGATCTGGGGGCTGACATTGAAATCACACTGCTGAGGACTGGTGAGGGCACTGAGCACCAAGAGGGGGGCCTGTCCAAATGCAGACGGATGATCCTGGCAGAGCACATCCCCCAGGAGAGTCTCACGAGGAATGGCGTAAACCCCGGCACAGGGCAGCTCCCCTGTGGGACTGCAGTGAACCATCTACCTGCCCAAGACGTGATTGCAGACATTAATTTTTTTCAGTTGGTTTGGTATTTTCTCTTTGGCAACTGTGGTCTATAATGTGTCATTTGTCACCAGTTCTTTTGTCACTTTGGGAGAAATGGGGGGCTGGAGGGGGGAGACAGCAGTTTCAAATCGCCCAAGTGGTGAATAAAAATATGGGACTTCACACAGGCGGAGCCTGAGCGCGGCTTATTCATGCACAAGAACACACCACCAGGGTCTCCGCCTTCCAGCAGCAGGAAGGGTTTTATTTGTTCTTGGGAAATTAGAACAATGAAATGAAAGAACTAATCAGGTTCTTGTGAGAAAACCTAAGTCAGCTTCGCAAGCAGTTCATTGAAGTCTCAGCTTCTGAATTCCCACCACCCACCCTGAGAGGCAACGTGAACTGTCCCTGCTGGGGAGAGGGTACTGTGAAAGGCTTGACAAGGAGCGCGGGCCGCTCCTCACAGCGGTTTCCCGCTTCTCTTGCTAACGTTTTTCTTTCTGAAAAGTCCTCCTCCCCTGAGAACACCTTTCCAAGGTGCTGGCTGAGCGCCTTCGGTCTGGAAGGCGTTTTCCCTGGTCTGGAATGTTCTGCCTCGGCTCTGGAGGTGCTGTGGTCAGTTCACCAGGATGAAGTTGGACTTGCAGTGAGCTTAACAAACAGGAGGAGCACAGGTTAGAAACAGGAGGCAAAAGAGTGACGTGTGAGCCATAGCAGAGGGACACTCCGGTCCAGCCTACCTATAAACTCTGTCACAGGGTCATGTTCACCTTCGGTCTTAATGGTGCCTGCGATGCTGTCGTTTTCCAAGATGGGAAGGAAAAGCTGCACGAAGTCAGAGGTGTAGGGAGGAGCTATGACATCCAGGACCTGCCAGGAGGGAACAGCAGGTCACTCCCCCAAACACGCGTGC